TACGATTAAGTAAATGACACTTGTATGAATATTTATATTTGGATCACTAATGTGTAACATTTTTCCTCGACACAGCCTCGAAATGTTAAAACCTGCAAAATCGATTTGAAGAAAATTTATTTCATGACATATTTCCTATCTATTATTTTGATGTTTCATTTGTAGACTCTTCCAAATAGTTATATTAAAATGTTCATACTGTGCAATAAAGTATCAAAAAGATTCGAAACGTACAGACACGGTGTTTAATCTTGTCCTTAATCTCGCAGCATATGTAAATGGAAGATAAAGAGCTCCAACATTGTAAGAAGTGACTATAAATCAAATGGAATAGTAAAAGTAAATTTCTGCTTCGACGATTTTATGAAGACAATAACCAAACAGGAATTTGATTGCTTTATCGAAACTTTCACGACGGCGAAAAAAGCATGAAAGCTATCTCGAACTTCAATCAAATGCTTTACTTCATTCGATTTAATCAGGATTTATTAGAAATGTAAACAAAAACTCAAAAAGAGATAGGTTTATGCAATTCGCGATTGTAACCACGGTCACAGCTGCGCTTATTGGATAGACCACAACTATGAAATTTATATAATCGTTCGAGATTTAAATACACCGCCTAAAATCACGAGCCACAGTTGATCTCTCTTTACATAAACCCCTAAATAATCTTCATTGCTGCTCGTATTTCATTTCTGACGTTTATTGCTCTCTTTAAGAAGCCTCTAAGGGATTTATGCCGGCCATGTAATTCTGCTCCTTCGAATTACATCTAAGAAACGACTTCATCATGTATTTCTATTCTATACATTGTTCAGAATATTCTGAAAATATGACTAATGATTATAACAAATTTTTATAAGCGTTGTTTGAACGCGGGACATCTCCCCGCCAATGCGTATTTAAAATGGCAGCTGACAATGAAACTCTTTGCAACAACACGTGGTTACCACTTTTCTAAAAGTAAAAGTGAATTTATAAAAAAATAATGAATTAGTCAATTAACTAATACAAGTTTATCAGCTTGGCATTTTTTTATCATATTAACAATATTTATATAGTTGACACTGATTTCTACCTTAATCCTTATTGTTCTCAGTATTTCAATGTAACGCATGTTTTCACAGCATTGTTAGCTAATCAGTATTTCAGACTTGCGATTATATAAAGTGAAAAAGAGTTTCGCAATCGTATTTATGTATGACTTACTGCAAAACCTTTGTGATTCATGTAGTGTACAATTACAATAGATCAGTAGACAGGTAAGGCATTTAAATTCAAACTACGTCGCAACTATATTAAAAAGAAAGTAGTAAATTACTTATCGATCCATTCAACCGATATTATCGTACATACATCAATACTTCCACATAAACAACACTTGTTACAACTATAAACCTCACATACCGAAACCACTATCGTACATCTCGACTTACACAGAATCAAAGAAAACACTTACCAAAGCACAAACCTCACATATCCAATACGACCGTCAACCCCTATCGTCTCATCCCCAATTCCTCAACAAAAAATCTACAAATTCATGCATTACATGCAAGACACACAAAAACAATATGAATAAAAATTCAGCCGCAAATGTGGCCTTCGATATCACGGATCATTAGCATTAAATAC